CTTCACTAGCTGCTCGCGTTCAAAAAGAACAGGACGTGCTGAGAGAAATAATTTTACACATTGGTTTCCATGGCACATCGTCCACTTAATGCTTCATTCGCCTGTGAATCTGGAAGGGGTGTTGGAATAAGCATGAACTGGCTGCCAGGAGGTTCGGCATGACAACCTCGTAAAGATTCTGGACATCTTGTTCGAGGGGGCCTTGATTTGCACAGTCACCGAGCCTGCTCCCAGGTGGGCTATCACTTAGCATTGTGTCCACGACTTGCAGGGAAGGGTGGAGGAGTGTCCAGCGACACGTTTATTCAGAGAATCGTGTTTGTGACCTGCCTGCTTGCGCGAAGCTACATTGGCAGTGGGAAGGAGCCTTTGCCATGTTTGGTGCCATGTTGCCAAAGTTTTGTTTCTGAAGTGTCGACGTTCACCAGGTGTTTGCGACAATTGCTGCAAGCACAACCTTCACTGGCTCAGCAGCAACATTTGCCGTTGGCGCATGGGATTGCATCAGCCATGGCGCGTCTTTGCTCCGATTGGCTAGTCGATTATGTCGACTGCTTCCTTGTCACAGGGTTCAGTTGTGTGTTTTCGGGTTTTCATCCAGCTGTCACGGACCTCTAGCGGCTCTAGCGGTCTGTGGAGGACTCTTCAGACCTCATGAATGTTCAGATTGAGATGATGCCAAGGTGTTTGCACGATCTTCCAGAGCCGATTCTGCACCAAGAGCTGAAACCGGAGAACGTCCTCATCTTCGAATCCGCTTCCAAGTTGATCCCCAAGATCACCGACTCTCGAACTGCAGAAGTTCAGAGCTGTGGCTGGTGACGGCTGATGGCTGGGTGGGGGGAGGGCGGTGAACAGGTGCACCCGGGCGAGGTGAGTTCGAAGCGTCAGGGCCCCTGGAATTCGGAGTGTCCCGGGTGCGAGTTATATAGGATGTGAGGTCAAGTTGTTGAATAGGTAAGATCATGTAACGCTTGTAAGATCCAAGGAGGAGAAATCCAAAGATCCAAGTTAGAGAAGTGATATGAAGTGATAAGGGCACTCATGGACACTCAAGTGTGCACTCGCTGATGGCCTTGGGCACTCGCGTGGTCATTGTTAGGACGTTGGCTTCAACGGCGGCCATGGTGTGGGCGCTTTGGCCTACAAAGCGCCTGAGATCTTCGACGGACAGTTTCAGGCAGCCTCAGAGGTGGCACAGCAGATTCCGTTTGGTTCGGTACAGCAGGGGAATGCATTTTGTGTTTTTTCAGTCTCTGATGTTCGCGTCCCATGTGAGATGTTCATGTCCGCTAGTGGCCCCCCGCCGAAAAGACTAATACAGTACGTACGTACAACAAGAGAAGGGGTTTGTACAACAACTACTCAAGAATTGTAGCATTGAAACATTTGTTGTTTCCGCGGAACAATTCCTGGGAGGTCCTGACCCCTGCGTAACCCTGAGAGGGAAGACTGACTTAGTCAGACGCGTGGCGACAGGTTTACGCCTTCGGCGTGGTTTGCTTCGAGATTCTCACTGGCCAGCGAGCCTGGGAAGGGTCACTCGGCCAGACTTAGCAGTGCTGTGCCATGGGTTTTGTTTAAATGCACCTCACTCGGAGTCACCGTCAAGGGTAGACCGCAGACTCCTATTGCCTATAGACATCAAAAATCATCAATAAACATGTATGCGTTACCTGAATTAACATAAATTATATGACTTAAGTCCACTCCGCAGTCCACGCTGCAGAAACGCGCCGCAGGCGGACGGACTTTCAGATCATGAAAGCTGTTGGTTTTGATCACGAACGTCCTCACATGGACGAGCAGAATGCGAAGACGGTCTTGGGTAAAATCATCAAGGAACTTCAGACACTGCGAATGGCCAGAGTCTTGCAAACTTGTGGCAAGGTGGATGCAAGCATCAGAGTGGAAGTTGGTGATTGTGGAAGTTGGTGTATGTGGAATATTGTAGAAGGATCTAGTATCTCATCTTCCAGATAGTGTGGCAAGTGGCCATATATAAGTTACCGATCAGTATGTAATGAATTCAACTGATGGGTGGGGCAAGCTCCAACCCACACCGAGCGACCGCCTGTGGCGTGAGGACTGCTGGGCTCCAGACCCCGCGGCCCGGCCGCGCTTCGCGGCGCTGCCGAAGCACCTGAAGCTGCGGAAGCTGCCCGCGCAGCTGTCCACGGCGGTGCCCGGCTATTGGTCGGGCAGGGGCGAGGACCTGGAGCAAGGCCACGCCGGTCGTTTTGGGCGACGGCGGCTGGGCGTTGTTTGGACCTCCAAACGGCCGCGGTGTGGGAAACGGCGACACGTGCGGCTCCGGCGAATCGAGCGATCCCATGGCCCAGCTGAGTGGTCAAATCGAAAAGGCGATCGGCGGGGCAGATGTCACCAGAAAAGGATCGATTTATATAAACCGTAGGGATCCAAGTACCTTCTCAGAAGGTGATTGGAGGCACTGTTACGTAGGTTTGGAAATGTTTGGAAGGTCCAAGTACCTTCTGAGAAGGTATTTGGATCCCTATAGGGAAACAAAAGTACTTTAAGTTTTTCAACTCATTTACCGGTCTGTGTATGATGCACATGTGTTTGTTCCGTGAAGTGTCCTAAGAGATCGATAAATGTATGATGCATGACAGGACTCTATATCAATAATGTCTTTACCAAATGATCATGTGCCCTCTCAAATTTCAGTGAGAAAGAGGTGCATAGTACCTTCAAATTCGAGATTATTCTTGTCCGAGGTGCTTAGCCTATCCAGAGATCCTCCAAATATTCCACCAACCCCTCCTTCTCTCGCAGGCTGGGCCGCGATCCCCGTGGCGGCGCCCACCTTTGCAGCGTTGCGGCGGCTCTTCGTGGTGACGCAGCCGCAGGATCTGGGCAGAGGCCGCGACGCCGGCCAGTACCCGCGGAGGTACAGCAACCTTCAGCGGCCCGGACTGTGACTGTGCAGGTTGTGGTGCTGCAGGTCATGTCGTGATGGTTTGGAAGGATTTTGATGGGGATGATTCAAAATTGACTTGAGGTCGGAACGATAGATAAGTTGAAACTGTTCCAAAATCATGCCTTTTTGCGGGCTTGGGTTCTGTAATGTTCTGTATTATATATGTTGAGGTTTCACTACTCAAGTTGAAATCCCAACTCTTTGTGAGTTTGTCGTCATGCTGTTAATTGGATTCTTGTGGCCCCCCCCATTTACACAACCCATGGTTTCTGTCCCCAGCCAGTTTCCAAACCTTGGGCCAAATGAGCACGTCAAAGGTTCTTAGTTGTCGGTTGACTCGGGTTCAATGCATCATCCTTCGCAAACCCAACCGCCATCATGGCACGATTGGATTGTGGCACCAAGACAGCAATGCACTTGCCACTCACCGATCAATATCATTTAGCTAAGGCATGTGGGTGTCGGTCAAATCAAAGAACCTCAAGAGGAATCAGGCGAACATCCCCCACTATATTTTAGGGCAGATGGATGAACAAACACATTTGTTTTAACTTTGTCTTAGTGAGGCTATGGAGCGCCTGGCAGATTGAACATCACAACCTTTGGGAAAAGTACATGGCTGAGCGCAATGATGCTCGGTCCTGCGGGATGGAGGACTTGTCCTTCAAGTTCGTTGTGGGTTGAAAATGGGTTTTGTGTGAAGGAGAGTCTCCAGAGTCCTGAGCAATCTCAGCCATTGGCTGCATGAGCTGCCTTAATTGGAAGGGAGGTGCTAAAAATACAATTTCCCATGTCCATGAAATGTGGCAATTGCAGAGCTAGAGAGAAACATCCCCAGCACTTACTAGAGGATTGTATGTTCGGTTTCTTTTCACCCATGGCCCATTACTGACTGATCTTTAAAGAGGGTATTCGATGGACGTTTGCTGCTGCACTTGGTATTTCTCCCGGGGATCCTGGTCGCCTGCCAGGGGAAACCTTCAATGAACCTCCGGGTTGTGCGTGCAAATTCAAAAGATGACTGATCAGACAGTTTGATTGCTTGTTTGCATGTGTTGTTCAGCACTTAGGATGTGCTGCGAAATTTGCAGCGGCTTGAGAGAGACTCCATAGAGACATCAGTTTGGAAGAGCAAACTGGAAGATGCCTCAGCTGGAATGCCAGATGAATTGTGTGCGCCCATTGGTGACTGGACGATCTTCACATTGTCAACTTGTGTGAAAATTGACCTTTGGCCTCGAGACCGTTCAAAAGCTGTTTGTAGGATATCAGTCAGCAAAAGCTAGAGCTAGGGCCACTAGGATCTCAAAATGCATTAGCCGCTTTGACAAACAATGGCACACTCACCCACTCACCAAAACGATAGTGTGATGGACATGGAGAAAAGACTAATACACTCACTACATGCTGATGACTCACGCAGTGATGTGAAAATTCTGACCCGACACGCTGAGAAGATGGCAGGGCCTTTGCGGTCAAAGGCCGCCAGCAGGGTCGGAGGGGTCGATTCACCGAGGCGTCCAGACGCTGAGGTCTTATACCTCAATCACCGGTGTTTCAGCATGGACGTCCGGACGCTATATAGCTGTTTTTTGTTTTAAATAGTGCTGTTTATATGATGTTATTTAAGGTGCTATATATATATATATATGCGATATGGTTCTTTTTGTAGCGTTTTATATGATGTTCTTTGAGGCGCTCACTCTAGCTCTTTCTTTCTCGGCCGAAGTGACACAGTGACACACGGCCACCTTGCCACAGATCAAGCCAGTCACCTTTAATCACCAAGCTCAGCGTGCACCAGCTGGTTGCCATGTTGATTTGATGGTCTCTCCGAACCAAGGCGAGAAATACCTTTTGCACGGAACGCTGCCAGAGCACTTGCTGCACATCCTGGATCAAGGTTTCAACGACAAGCTTGCAAGTTCAAAAGGGATGTTTCTCGGACTGGATGAGGTTCTTATACGATGGAGATGTCACAGGCAACCGGGCTGAACCCTTGGCAACACGATTGAGTGTTGATGAATCACCGGTGTTTGCGTGGGAAATCACCTTTGCAACTCCACAACTGGCTGTTTGAGCTCTCAAGAGTGGGTTTATCATAGTCCAAGTGGTGAACCATTTGTAGCAAGACATGGAAGACCAAATAGATTAGCAGCAACAACAGCAGACGACACCAAACCCGAAGAACGGGGAACAGGACCATTTCTTCATATTTCTTCCACCAACCAACTTGAGGTTCGGAGCTGGCGCCTACTTTGCTGAAGATCCAGCTGCTCGAAGAAGACTGAATGTATGTTTAATTCGAGATGAGATTCCACTGGTTCAGGTACTCTGAGACTTGGGGAGCAGTGATTCGACCCATTTCTACCCAGACCATGCAACTAATCAAGTCGGTCACTGGATGTTGTATACTTGCCAGAGGTTTGACTAACCGTGTAGCCATGCATTCACCACAAGTATTGGAGCCAGATCCTTCCAAGACTTGTGCCATTGTGGTGCCTTCAGACGAAACAATAGAGACGTGGGCGGTTACATGGAGCCAGAGCCACATCTACTATCATGTAAGTTCTTGCAAGCAAACAAAACTCCAAGGGAACCAGCATGTCTTATGAAATCCACTCGTTGACTCCTTGGCAAGCCGTTCTGCCAAACAGGAGAAGATTGATCAGTACACCCGGCCCGATCCGGGCTACGAGAGCCCTGGGCTGGAAGATGTGCATTCGCGCCTGTACCGCCCGGGTGGACATCAACATCCAGGAGAGTTGAGCCGACCATCGACCTGATGCTGGGCGACAGCTCTGGTAGAGAGTTTCCGCCTGGAAGAGACCAGCACTGCAAGATGATGCAACATGCAATCCGCTAGTGGAGACCAATTCCCTACGAAAGTTCAACTTATTTCTACGAACTTGCTCCATTCTCTTATTAAGTTTGTGTAGACTAGGCCGCTGACTGGGTGTACAAATCGATGTTTGATGATGTTTTAGTGCAATTTGCGCAGAACATTCACCATCCTGCTCTTCCGGTGGCCAGTCTCCACCGGAAACGACCCACTCACCGGACCACCACACACACCGGACCACCACACCCCTTCGTCCGGATCGAAGCACCGCATCCGTTCGAGCCCTTCCAGCCGTGCTTCGGGAAGTGAAGAACGCGGCCAGGACACGACGTTTTCTACTGCTTCGTGGCTCGGGTGACCTGCGGCGCGACCTTCGTGACCAAAGCCTTGAAGGCGGAGGGCCGCGCGCGCCGCGCGCCGCGCGCAGCGCGCCGCGGGTGGGATGAGCGGAGCCGGTGCATCTTCGGAGGTTTCGACCAACGTTTCATGATTTGGGTCGTGACGTGAATCGTGGTGAATCGTGGTGACGTCACATGTTTGATTGTGTTCATTTGTGTTCTTCGAAGACGGCCGCTTGGCGTGCTTTTTTCCGTCAAATCTGTTGTGCCATATGATTCCATCATATTCCATTATTTGTTTCCAACGAAGTCGGTAAGATGAACCAGGAAGTAACACAGGGCTCACGGGGTTCAGCAGCGTTTTCAAGTTGAGAAGCTAGTGGGAATAACTACCTTGAGTCTCCAAAGACCTTTTTTTTCTGCGTTTTTGTTTTTGGTCTAATATTTTTGCGTTTGTGCTCGAAAAACGCGTTTTTGGAGATGAGGACTCAAAAAAAGGTGCAGAGTGAATCTTCATCCGGACGCGTCCGGCACGGACGCTTAAAGACGCCTTTTGGACGCAAAAAGACGCGTTTTGGACGCCGAAAAAAGGTCTCAGGACACTGTCTAAGTAGGATCTGACAGGGCACAAACAAAAAAGGAACATTTCGTGACATATGCAAAAAAAGAGTGCTTTCTTTCAAAAACCTCTTTTTCTTGGAAAGGCAAATTTAAAAGGGTCATTGGAGACTCAAGGTATATGCACTTCGATTTGTTTCAAGCTACAGAGCTACCCGTCTTTCTTGCTTTTGTGGAGGAATTCTCTAAATCAGGCAGGCCAAAAGCGAGGCACAGAAGAGGGTACAAACGCGCGTTGCGCATTAGGACAAGTTCTATAAATGAGAAGGGGATAGAAGCAGGATGAGAAGGCATGGCTCAAATCCCCGCCACACTTCACCTTCGAATTAGCTACGCTTCACCTTTGACATGTTTCTCCCATCATCGATAGCGCATTAGCTGTAGGCGGCTATAGCCCAATGTTCTCCACAAGTTGTCATGACACTTGGATTGTGATGTTTGGAGGACTCAGCAGGACAGCTCCGAGGAGGCTCTTTGCCGAAGGTGTACGACTTTGACTCCGACTTCCAAGTTTTTTGCTAACGCCGAGCGCAGAGCACCTCGACACACGCGCAAGATTATTGCGCTGGGTTCGGTTGAGATGTTGGCCAAAGGACATTTTCTTACTTTTTGGAGCGTGTCACAGATAGGAAAATCTTGAAATAATGCAGAATTAGCAAATGTGTACAATATCACAAATAAGAACATTGAACGAATAACATAAAGTCAAACATATAACGAAAGAGCCCAGATCTCGCTCAAGTCACAGTTCTTTTCCCTAGCGACTGCACAGTTCCAACAAATTTCTCACCTTGGGTCGGTGGTCAATCCAATCGACTCTTGATTCATGAATCGGCCACCCCCTTGTCCCATCCTTTGCTTTTGGGATGGGCGAAAAAACGTGCAAAACCTATGCCAGCCATGTATGCGTTCTCATCACACCTGATCTGGATCCAAGCCATCCAAGCAGCCCCAGAGTCGTTCGCCCAAGGAACTCACCACGGTGCCGAACTCCAGTCCACCGGTCCGCTACCACACCCTGCTGGCGGAGCTGGGTCCGGCCATCGTGGCTTGGCAGAGAGGTGGCCGGGCCACGTCGGGCCCCATACAGAAGCGTGGACCCAGCGCCGTGATGAAGCCAAGAATCGCGGATTTTGATAGGTAATTAGGTCTGATGCATTCTGTAAAATCGCTAACGTACAATTGAGTACTTCAAACTTCAAACACTTGAGGATATGACATATAGGATCACTTCTAGGCTTTCCACAGCGCGACTTGCGGCAAGAGCCATGCTTGACCAAATCCAACCAG